TTTTAGTCTAATTTTTATATATTCATATATTGTCTTTATTTTTCCTTTTTGTTCTTTTTTAATTTTTGAGGACTCTTTTGTAAATCACTTATCAGTGAAATTGATATCCTCAATAAAGATTATTATTATTATTATTATTATTATTATTGAATCTGTAAATAGTCTATTTTTTTTTTTAAATCTATGAATAAAGTTTTGTTTTATTAATTATTATTATTATTATTATTATTATTATTTTGTCACAAGAGGAGACTTCCTACGAACAGACTTAAAATTTTTGTTGGAGGGCCACTCGTATAGTGTGTGCGATAGATATTTTGCAAACATTCAAAAAGTTTTTAACGCCCAAGTGAAAATTGAAACACCCAAAGATTGGGAAAACGTTCTAGTCAGCTATGGTTTATCAAGCGTCAAGGTCCATTGGGTAGGTCTTGACATGATAAAGGACTACAAGTCATTTTTAAAGTTAAAATACGTCAGTAGAAACGAAGATTTACAGCACGAGAAATTTGAGGTCAAAGAAATCGCGTGGATTAATGTTGGAATTGGGGATCAGCCTGATGACAGCGGCAATCTGAAAGTTGTAGATCATCCCGACTGCGCCTTCGTACCTTTCACTATTGACCCAAAACAGCAACCCAGGCTAGTTTCGTACACAAAGAAAAGGCAAGCCACTCCACTGCGAATAGACCTACTGACCACACTGAGGCAGGAACTAAGGCCAATTCGTGGAGATGTAAAGCAGCAGTGTCTAAATCTAGCTAGAAAATATTTAAGTGAACGTGCCGAACGTTTTTATGCTGCCCTATCATGTATCCAAGAGGGGAGCGAGATTGACGATTGAAGGTTATCATTATATACCTTTCACTTGAACATTAATCGTGTGTCCTAATTAGCTTCCTCTTTAACGCAGCACCTCAGTTTCCTTCGCCTTGCCTTTGTCTTACAGTAAAACTTACCAAGAGACTAAGAACCTGGATTTTTCAAAGTTATCCTAAACAGGTTATTCTTTTTAACATATAAATGGTAGTTAGTACAGGTTAAGGCTTTTTAGGTTCTTACATAGGTTATGTTCTGAATAAGAAAAATACAATATAGCCAAGATAATTTAGTGGTTCAGCTTATTCGTCATATAAAATCTGCACACCAAACGTTATGTAAAAATGACCATATAAAGAAAACCTAAAGCATTGACCTCATTGGCATTTAAACAGTCCAGTTAAAGCGATAATGCAAGTATGTCTTCAAAGAGGATTCTGAATAGTGACTGATCTAACTTTTGCCCAAGGGTACAGGCAAATTTTTTCGGAGACTTTAGAAACTAAGAAATTGTTTCAATTTCTAGACTAAACAGGTTCTTAAAATATAGGTTCTTAGGCAAGGGGTTTCACTGTATAGCACAATTGTATCGTTCGCTAATAAATAAATTGTTGTTGTTGTTGAAAACTACTGTTTGCTGCTTGACCATTCCGGTACCACAGTGAGTTAGAAAACTACACTAGCCAATGGTTGGGATTCTGAGATAGGTACCTTTTTCTAAAATCAGACAGATATAAGGGTTATATTATCTCGTATTTACAAACGTTTCTTCAGAATCCAAGAGGGCTCACCATTTGTATGAAAGGTTCATCCCGGTTGAAATTTTCCTAAAAAAAGTAATACCTTTCGAGTTATTACCTTTTTCCCGTTTTTACCGAAACGATCGAAATTTTTCTGTACCATTTGTTTGGATGACTACTGTCAGGCTTCATGTATTTCGTAAATGGTACAACTCAATCCCGTTCCTGTTTTCGGTGCCAAAAAAAATACCAGTACCATTTGACAGAAATTTTCCACCGCACGCAGCTCCGCTATCAGGGTTGGAGAATACTAGAGAGTGGATATCCTGTCTTGAAAATTTCATGTGAGCTCCCATCTTTTCCTCTGTAGAGTGTAACCTTCACGATGCTCCCTTTCTAACTTTTGCAGCCCTTTTTGTCGTCATTAGGTCACGTGGTATATAACCACTTCCGTTAGGAAGAATCTTCTTCAAATAGTTTCCTTAGTGAAAATGTCTATCATTTATTTTTACAATAACTGAGCCAATCCTTGCGCGCTGATTAGTCAAGAGCTATGGTCTATGAGACCTGTCACGCAGTGCCAGTAGTTTTGTTTTTGGTTTTCACAAAAAAATAAATGTTATTTTAAAAAACAAATCGATCACAATTTTCCATGGTCCACACTCTTATGACATCAATACGTCATTTCTAGGGTCTATAAGAGCGTACACCATGGAAAATTGTGGTCGATTTGTTAATCATCTTATTAGTATTAACCCATTGTTTCTGCTTCCTGTTATATCTTGCTGAAGATGTGGTTCGTTATAGTTGAAATCATATAAAAGAGAAGAACGAAAACAGCGGCACGTTTCATTTTTTCCATTTATTTTCAGAGGCAGAAAGACAGCACTTTAATTACTTTCTTGCGTGTTTCCGAACTAAAACAGGAAACGCGTGCGTAGGTGTAGGAACTCCTTAAAGCTGTTTTATCCGACCGATTTAAATGGATCAATTGAAAACATTGTTCATGGTTTTATAAAACAAAAAGATTCTTAATTTTGAGGGCCAGCAATCCACCCACCTACGCCATCCTGTCGCATAAAGTAAACGTGCTTAAAAATAAAAGTCCAAACTATGACTGATTTAACCTCGTTTTGATCTGGACAGGAACGTGCTTGGACGTGGGACTTCAAATTGTCCAAATTGGAGAAAATTTAAAGTAGCATCTCCACAGCCCCTTTACATGTATTTTCTCTTTGAGCGTACGTATGGAAATAAAAACCGCAGGGAATTTATCGTCCGCACTGACCGCAAGCGCGGTCGAATTGTCGAAAAACGAAAAACGTCTGTGGACAGGCGCGGCTAGATTAAAAAATAATTGAGAAGTAAATTTCATTCAAAGCTTATGTGACATTCCAGGGGGATTTCCCATAATGGCCTATAGGGAAGATTCCTTTCGAAAGGGATACCTTGTTCAAGCTTCAAGTATACGAAATGGTTCTAGCAGGAATTTCACGAGCAGTTGAAGTAGATGAAACAGAATTGATGGGAATATTTATATCGGTAATTAGGGGCACCCAACGACAATTTTCGGGAAAATATCTGTTCGGAAGACGATTTGAGATCTAGAATTTTCGGAACATTTGTTGTCAAATTTCTTGCTTGCTTGCTTCTCCTAGGATTTTCGAACATCTAAACAAAGGTAAAATTGCCCATCTTCAACGGATTTTTACCCTAAAAAGGTCACATAGAATTTTCGGGAGCCTTTTTTCTGGCTGAAATTTTCGAACAGGTAAGTTTTGATCCCTATAATTTTCGGATCACTAAACTTTCAGCTAGGAAATCCGAACAGATGAAAAATTTATAGGGGATAAAAATATGCCCATATCCACCGTTTATATACTAAAACACGTTTAACAATGCTATGTTTAAGTGGTTTTGAACTATATTCTCGTTGGGTGCCCCTGGGTAATTTAATGTCACTCAAACGTTTTTTTCAAGCAATGTAACCGGTGACTTTTCTTCAGTTTAATTTTAAATTCCTATTTTGTTAGGATCTTGAATGAAGTGAATAATATTAGTAAAGCATATAATATAGAAGATTTCTGCTGGTTGTCTTGACTGGTGGAAGGCTACGAGAACCGATGAGTTAACACCAAAAGATACAGAAATAAAGACAAACTGTGAGGATGGAAACGTGTTAACAGAGGTCACTATAAAAATACAAATAGATTAAGTTTTGTACCGTCTATACAGCCTATAAGGTTAAGGTGTCGATTTTGGTGGATCTTATCAGCTGAATTTCCTGTGAAGAAAAAGCGGGAGAAAAAGTGATAAAGTAAAGCTGTCTGTAAAGCCATAAGATTCTGATTGTATATTCTCATAGCTTGGATGATAGACGAATAGACCGGATACTGTAGACTTCTTAATAGGCTGTCTCTCAAAACATGTATAGGGCATTTTGCCACTATTCATCTGCCTTCGGATCTTCTCTTACTAGTAAAGACATGAAGAACCTTGTAGTGGCCCGTCGTTGACACGCGATCGTGGCTTAGTTAGTCTTTAATCGGTGGTTGTCGAACAAGCGTAGCCCTGCCGCTGAAAAATGCCGGGGAGGACCTAAAAATTAAAATTGCAAACTGGAAGGCACAACACACTTTATTTTTTGGTGGGGGGATTTTTGGTATAGCCAGGATTTTGTGTATATGTTTGTGGTAGTGTTGGAGGGGGGAGGGAGGAGGGGGGGGTTGTGATGGGAAAACCCAGCTGGAAAACCTCACAACACAGATCAACACATCCCCACAATCCTTTACTGACCCCTTTGAGATACATCTGGACAGATGCTGTTTTCCAAATGAGACAAATCTTGAGCGCCGGCTTGGCTGTGATGTACATCTTTCCTAAGAACTCAAACGGAAACAGCGCTTCAGAAGTGAAAGCCTAAGAAGAGAAGTTTTTAAAAACTGAAGAGGAAACTGTAATCTTTTTATAGAACATAACAAACAGCTAAGAATAAAAACAACATTCCAAAAAATTCTGAAAGGGAAAATTGCGTCCGAGTTTCAATTTGTCAAAAAATAGGTCACATACCCAAAATATGAAACAAGGCTCAAAATAAATAAATACAGGCTAATGAATAAACAAGCGCGCCAGAATTTATGAACTATTAGCAAATTAGCTCAATAAAAAGCACATGTTGATTAGTTAATTCAAAATGAGAGGAGCGTGACGGTATGTTGGTATATCAACTTCCTGCCGTTTTTCAGCGTTTAGGATAATCGAGGCGTCCTTTTAGTTTTGCTTGAATAACATAACATAAAACCAGAGATGCGTTGAACCGCGTCTCTGATCTATTTTCAAGCCATAAATTGTTCTTTTGTTTGAGGTCTTGAAGTCTCGCCTACTCTAGCGCCTCGATCCCAGTAGCCTCGCCTTTGTTGTGTATCTGCACTGCATACAAACATGGCGGCTGGTGCAGGGCTTTGTTTTACTCTAATCATCGCACTCTTGGCTCCGAAGTTGGCAAGAAGTTATCGTCCTTTTAAAGTTCCAAAGAATCTTTTCGTGCATGGAACCTCGCCGTTCACCCTTCCCGAGGGAGCGCATGAGATAATTCGGCGGGAAGATGGCGCTCCAACCTTGGAAACTCCTGAAGAACTTGTGGAAGACCTACGAGGCCAACTTCGAAGTCGGGTCCGTCGTGACAGCCCAGTACCACGTCAACCAGAGAAAGGCATGGTAAGTTTGAGTCTTATAGTTTTTGCTTATTAAATTGCGCTACATAACAGTTCTGTAAGGATGATTTCGAATGCTCGCATACTCCATGCTAACAGTGCACATGAACTTCTAACCTAGTCAAACACTTTGATTGACTTTTTCAGCTGACTCTGACAAAAGACTTCGACACCCTCTATATGTACTGGCCTCGTAATCGCGGGAACGAAAGCAACATATTTCTTCTAGCAAAAAACACTAAAATTGGAAGAGATAAAACTAAAAGCAAGGTTTATGTGTCTCGAAACTACGGGAAGAATTTCACGGATCTTGGTTTAACCGACAAGAATAACCCACCACAGATTGATCAGATTTATTCTTCAAAAGCAGATCCACAGCTTGTAAGTAGACCTTTGCATTTAGGTTTTACATATTGTGTTTTGTTGTTTCTGATAGATCCTGATAGCTGGTGTCTGTGTCTTGTTTTGATCACAACACGTGTTCGGTTAACGCGTAAATGAATTTGTGAAATCATAAATGCACATATATTTGTTGCATTTACTACTGTTTTGAACGTGATAAATATACAGTATTTAACTGTAATGAGTCTTGTTTTCGTGACAGATAGGAAGTTTAATGTTTACCTCGAGGTGCTTGTAGGGTGTAAAAATGGCGCGTATACGTGGGACAGCAATTTTAGTTTCATGTACAAAGTCAAATATGAGCTTAGGTTCAGCATACACAATATTGAATCGGCATTTTTCGAATGAGCGTTTTTTAATCTGTCACAGTTCGACAGGCAATAAATTTTTCATCTTCGTTTTTTTTATTATGCAACGTGGCGTCTTGCTGTGAGCGCCGATATCTTTTATCGGACATAAAGCAGGACATCGGATATGTTGTGCAGGAAGTGATCAGAAGTTCTTTGTCCCATCAGCATTTTTAAAAAGTTTTGAAAGTTGTATGGAAAGCACGTCATCTAATCAACTTGGGCCCCAGTAAAAGCTTATTTATTCCTAGAACATTTAAGGGGGCTGCAATTTAGAAACGTGTTGATTTATGTCTGTTCAAACCGCAATCATTTGCATAAAATATCCTCTTTACTGTATTATTATACCCATATCCCGTGACTGACTGTTTATGTTTAGAAGAGAGCAAAGCCATATCGCTAGCTATATTGAAATCTTGAACCTAGGATCTTGTAGAAACAGAAATATTTTCCACATTAATTTGCTCCAAATTTACAATTTTTGTCCTTTTTTTGCCGTGGCAAAAAAATATTTGTTTTAGAGCTGAATATGTTTCCCCAACAGCACATGGTCTTGTTGGTTATTCTAAGGCCACATGACAGGAAGCAATATTTCTCTTCATCCCAAAAGTCTTTAAGCTGGTTAAATCACAAAATCTTTGATAAAAGAGAGTAAGTCCAACAGTGCAATTTTTAATTTGCAAAATGTTGACTCATGGTCACCTAGATCATAAAAGTACACACATACATGTAGTAGCTTTTTGTCATGGGTGAAAAAAAAATCACTAACAGGACTGTCAATAAGGGCCAGTAGAGGGGGTAGTTTCGAAAATGAAGCACTTGAAAATGAAGACCGAAGCATGAAGCACCCAAAACTCAAAAACAAAGCGCCTATCGAAAACAAAGCACTCGAAAACGAAGCACCCAAAAACTCGAAAACGAAGACCCCAAAAACTGGAAAACGAAGACCCCTAAACTTGAGACTGGTCTGTCCTTTATAAATTGGCTAAAAAGTCTCTTGCTAATACAGCAGGAATCAAGTACGATAATGAATCGAATGCAGTTCAAATCTACAACCTACACTGGTTTCGAGTTTTGGGTGCTTCGTTTTCGAGATTTAGGTGCTTCATGCTTCGGTCTTCGTTTTCGAGTGCTTCGTTTTCGAAATAACCCAGTAGATGGCCAAAACCACTGGCTAGTTAGCCTTCCTTAGCCCGCTACTTTGATCTCCTTCTACCATAACTGCTAACAAAAAATAAGCACCATCAAATAAAATTTTCTTATATACGGTACATACTGAGATATACTCACTGAAAAGCTATGGCATAAATTTCATACACAAATAAGTTCTAGCTAATTTGAGGAGCAAACGATGCTTTTCACACGTGGAAAAAGCAATATGTCCAATCAGAATCGCGAGCAATGTTTTTTCACAGGAGAAAAATGATACGTCCAGTCAAAAGCCACAGAGGTTTGTGAGTTTCGCACTAAAATTTTTTGCTGTTTTTAGGCGCTTGCATCGCCCTCGCTTTGCGAGTTGCTTTGCAGACATTCAGAAGAAAAGACCCATTAAAGCAAAGTTTTTCTCGAAGAAAATTGTGAAAAATCGCGACAATTGTGTTGGAATAGTTTTGTGTATTTCACATTATCGATGAAGAAAATTGAAGGGAGCTGGCAAAACAACAGTGAAAGGGGAAAAAACAGAACAAGACGTTAGCTTGTACTTGAACTTTTTATTGGAGCTAAGTTTATCAAGCCATATGCTTCTGTTTATATTCAAACCGGTCATTTTACTCAAAATCGTTCATTTTTATTTGTACGTTCAGAAAAAAGTTAATATTACTTGTAATTCCTGGATTACTTCATATCCTTACCCTCATTAATTTTTACCAAGCATTTTTTAATACTAATATAAGCATAAGGTACTTTGTTTTCTTTGTCATTTCACGGTGTGTAGAGGCATATTTCGGCATTTGAGGATTCTTGAAAGATTTGAAATAAAAGGCTGGCAAGATGATGAATGCCTCAGTATGTATATGTTGTAGTTAATTTTTTATCTCAGGTAATTTTTCTTTTTCTTTTGTTTGAACGTCATTAGCATACATTACCATACTCAAAAACAAAAGAAAAACAAAAATTACCTGAGATAAAAAAATAACTACAACATATATAATAACAACAATACCACATGGAAAGTGCCTTGAGCGATATTTACGCACTTGTTGTTTTTATATCAGAAATCTCACTGGTTTGCTGCGCTCATTCGTTCAATTTTTGATACGTCAACAACTCGTGCGTAAATACCATACGCCCGCACTTTCCATGAAGTGTTCTCTATGTATTACATTGTTACCAGTCTTGTGTGTATTCTGACGAAACAACATGGTGTCCGCAGTGGAAAATACGGCATGAAAACCTCTGGAAACGCGATTCCTCTGGAAACGCGATTTCCGAGACTCTAAATTTCAAAATCTACCTAGATGCCTTGGCCCTAACAAACTTGTGCCTTTGATGCAAGTTCCAAAGCCGCCTATTATTCATTATCAGCCTGCTACTTAAAAACTTGTTGACAGCCCTGACTAATGAATGGTCCTTCGGATAATTAAATGAGTTAATTTTTGTTCCCTCAAATCTCGATGGTTTCCTCGGGAACTGTTCTAGGTTATTTAAAATTTTAGTGTAAAAATAGGGAAAAATAGGGAATGTCATAGGCTGTGACGATTGCCGTTGTTACTTTCTGTAGCATTTATAACAATGGAGCCACTGTAGGTGTACTGACCCATTCAACCTGCATTAGCTTTAACTTCCATACTAGTGAAAATATATGTAATGGACCAAAAATATTTCTGGAAGATGAGAAAAATTTGCACTTTGTGTACCAGGGAGGAGTTGTTCAAAGCTGGGTAAGATAACCTAGGGTGAGTTCTAAATTTGAATTCAGATATGAAAGGTTATAAAACAAATTCAGTTTAATTCTTTTCGTCAACAATTTGGTGATTGGCTACTCTAAAAAGAATAGAGAAAATTGTCCAAGAAAATGTGTCTGATGAAAAGAAAAAGAGACCTGGGTTAAAATTTAACCCTGGGTTAGCACTAATTGGCCTTCGAACAACTGGGCCCAGACTTATAGAGACAATGAACCCACATGTAGGATGTCAATACATCAAGTTTCATTGTGGTGCATATTATTCACAGTTAATGTATTTGAAAAAGGGTTAATTTATTTTAAGAAATGTTTTTACCTTTTCCAAACCAACCCCTTAAATTGTCACTTGTCATCAGGGCTCAAAAAAAAATTCTTATCTGGTTGTAATTGAGGACACGTAGGTTTTCTTGCTGGGAAAGTAACTTTAAGAAAACTCTGATGTTCAGAAATTTGTTAGAAAATGAGTCATTATTTTAGTATGGACGAATCATCTTTCTAATCAGTTTTGTAAATAATTTATAATAGTTATTGTATGTGTGATAACTTTATTTTAATTCTAAATATTGTAGCTTTTATATTGTCTTAATAATTTTTGTCACTATATTTTTTTACTTTCGTTGGCATACCTGTGAATTAGCTGGTAAACCGATGGGCGAGGGTCCAGGCAGTCGTCTTTTAGCTAGTCATTAACTAAGACAAACATGCAATGGTCTTGAGTGAGAAGGAAAAGCTGGAATGAGTTTGTTTTAAAGCCAGGAGGAACTCCCACATAATGGTGATAGGCAGCGATGCTTGTTGTGTGCTGAAGGAGACCATTCTAAAACAGATATCATGGCTTTTTTTCAAAACTTCTTTAAGTACAGCCATAAGCGATACCTGAATGGGCATATATAGTGACTTTCTGTCCCAAATACCCTAAATAAGTGAGACCAAAATCTGCAATTTACACCCCTAAGTGTGATGAGCATCCCATCACTTTTATATGGGAGTCCTCCCAGGTTTTTGAGCTCTGAGCACGTGGAGATTTTTGTAGAGACAACTAGAATCTATTTCACCGTGAAAAAAACTTTTTTCTCATAGTGGGTCATGGGTTGTCTTTTATTTGAACAAGTTATCATTAGACAAAATTTACAATATTAGAAGTGTGATTTGACGTTTTTATGTATATAAGGTCCCTTCACTAATTTCTGTTAATGATCTAGACACATTGAAATGTTAATTCACACCTGTTCTAATAATTATTTCAAGTACAAATAATTCATAAGCAAACTACAGTAAGAAAGGAAAAAAATTGTCAAATTTATTTTACATTCACCCCAGTAGTCCTGAGCAAAAGTCATACTGACTTTATGTGATTATTAATAGTGATCAGCAAAAATCATAGAATTACAAATTCTTAAAATGATGGATGTGTCTTATAGAGACTATAATATCTTCAGGTCAGGCTCTGTTACCCATGTATTGTTGATGTTCGCTTGGTGTATTTTTAGTTGCTGATTGCAATTATTTGCATATGTATGGACTGTATGTCTAGTGCTAGTTTATGTAATTTGAATTCATCTTAAGTGGTTATGTTCAGTTTGGTTTATTGACGAATGGACCTGCATATCATTCCTTTAAATTATTTGTTGTTCTGTACCCATAGTTACAATGAATATGTTGCTACAAGTTATTTGAAAAAAAAAATTAATAATAACAATCTTAAGTATTCAAAGGCTTGTGAATGAGTAATAGTGATTAATGATTATAGTTTACCAATGCATATTTTTCATTGTCCACCTTAACTTTGGATTTGCTGGTGGTAACTGGTTATGAGTTAATTTATCAAGTTACAATAAATTATTAGTTCACCAGGTGTCTTATATATCTACAGTCATCCATCTACCTGTGCGTTCCGCATCTTAATGCATCCCTTTCTCTATTACAATCACGGCTTGATATCTTTTCCTCTCTATTTACAAAAATTTTGCAATATTTAGCTAAGTAAGTAGTTTGTGATTGTATGATGAACTCCATCTCAGGCTCATTCATGGTCAACAGTTGTGGAAGTGTTTGTTCTTCAACTCATCGCACATGCTTTCTTTCTTGTCTAGTTGCTTGCACATGAGTTATTTGAATTAATTTTACTGTATTAAAATTCAAATTTTTCTTCAAATGCCACCAAAGAAAAAAGTTATGTGCCTGGAGGGGCAAACACAACTCTCATTTGCGAGTCAATGTCTAGAACAAGAAGGACAAGAATCGGCAACTTCAATTGAAAAAGATGATGCGATTACAACTCAGGCTAAATCCAAGGAAAGAAAATTCTTCAAGCTGAGGCTGAAAAAGTATTCATGGCAAGTTTACGAGAAAAATGGCAATTACAGCTGTACATGTACTGCCGAGTCTGTGCAGAGACTAGGAAATCTAACAGAGTGAGCAAGTACGCCCAGTGCCGAAATTTAAAAAAAAAACACACTCACTTGACAAGTTGGTTTCCATGAACACAAGATAGCCCTCCAAGGCTCTGAGACAAGAAGGTCATTCAAGGAAGCTTGAAGAAAAGGTGAAACAAACAGAATTTACAGCCATACTGGTGCTTTTCAAGTGCATTAATGGCTATTTATGGAGATCAACCCGGTCGTAAAATTCAAATTGAAAGAGCTGAATTCAATTTTGATTGTGCACTGGTAAAATAGGGCAAAGGGAGGGACAGGTCGATCTTTGAGCTCAAATTTACGAAATAGATTTTGAAATTGCTCTCTGTATGAAGTTATTCATGATTTTGTTTGTAAGTCAAAGACTGAAAGTAACAATATGACAATAAAACCTCTTTTGATATTTACGTGTTACTCTTAAGTACGACTCATACACTGATGGGTGTAGGACTGTGTGGGACTCAAACTCCTGAATATGGGACTCACACTTATGTCTGAGGGACTCACAGGGTTTTGGCTGTGTGAGTCCCTAGACTCACTGCCGCCTGTTTCTAGATGGATCACTGTATCTAGGCGATTTTTTGAGAATGAAACCACCAAAACTGGCATCCATTTGAGTGACAAAGGGCCAAGAGGCATGTTTTTATGAACCTGATAAGCTCAAAAATCACACCAGCAAAGGAAAGAGAAAGGAGATATAGAAAGAGTGAGGAGGAAGAAAGCTGGAGAGGAGAAAAAAAACAATGTTTGCACTCTTAAATTAAAACTGATGACTTTTTGTTAAATAAATCAAGTTTTGCAATACTTCTTTAACAAAACAATGTGTATGGTTAGTAAGGTGTATTTTTATGAAATCCTAAGAAATATTGTCATGCAAAAGTTTCTTCAAACAGTTTTCATTGAAAAATTGGAGTGTTAAAATAGTCTGACCATGAACGTCATTGGTCTCGGAGGGAAAGGGTCATTGTAGTCTTCAAGATGCCTTTCTCAACACTGTCTTCTTTTTCTCTCAGTGCATTCTTGCAGACAAAGTGAACAAGATTCTCTACCGCTCAACGGATTTGGCCCAATTTTCACGCATGCCGGTGCAATTTGTGCCATCTTTCATCACATTTCATCCCGAGGATCGCCGTTATGCCATGGCATATGATAGCTCTAGTGAAAAGGTATGTCTGACCAGCTTGTATAGGTAATCTCCCTTTTACTGTGAGTCATTTTGTATACAGTCCAACCTCCTTGTGCAGCCACCTGTCCATGGAACCAATTTTTTTTTGTTTGAATCTGAGTTTCGGAAACAACCACATCTAATTAGTGACTGCATGTGACCATCTTTTGGAATGGTTCATTACCTGCTATAAGTGTGGTCTGATCTGTATTAAAAAGATTCTGCTTGTAGTATGCACATCTCAGAGCATACTGGCTCTACATGCATTGTAACTGCAGGAATGAATGCACGAGAGATAATTACCTTGAAACATAGTAAGTGCATCAGAACTTTTGTTAGAAGAGTTCCCTGCTTCCCTCCTGATTTTGCATGGTCAAAATTTGAGAAAAGGCCCAGATGCTACTTGTGTATTTTTGAGAATGACTAAAAACAAATTGCATTTAACAGACCTCCAAAGAGTTTCATTTGAATTGTCAGGATTTAAATTGATAAGGTTTTTTTTAAAGTTGTAAATATATTTATTTTTGTTGGTGTGGTTTATCTTTTTGTTAGGCTTTAACTTTCCAACCAGTTTAAGTTTGATGATCCTTTGTTTCAGATGCCAGTGGCATTCTTAGAGAGAGAGAGACTGAGAGAAAAAAAATTTAAAAAAATCAATCTGTTTGGAAATTTTCAAACCAAAGAAAAATTTAACTACAAGGTATACATGTGCTAGCTTATAGCTGTGTGCACAAAAATGTAAACCAACAGTGGAAGTTTGTAGGTCAGGCTATTTTGTTCATTAAGCTGTAAATGAAACACAGGAAAAAATAACTGATTCCCATTTTTGGATATTTTAGGGTATTTAAAGAATACCCACAAAAATCCCAAATTTGGAAGAGTGAGACAAGTCCCAATCAGGGAACTTGGTTGGGAATTGCCTGGTTGAAACTTGTCTCACTTTGACAAATTTGGGATTTTTATGGGTATTCTTTAAATACCCTAAAATATCCAAAAATGGGAATCCGTTATTTTTTCCTGTGAAAGCTTAACAACTGGTGCTAACTGTTTGTTTTGCTTAACAGCTTTACTGGTCAAATAATGCGGGTAAAAATTTTACCGCAGTAAAGGGAAAAATCAAGTCATTTCACTGGTGAGTATGACGACTAAAAAACTAATAAGATTCCATAGTGGTTTTGCATGACTACAGCTTCACAGCGCGTCACTCTGCTGTTTGGTAAAAACACTGCAATTTAGTCTTTGTCTTAGGCCATTGGGCTAACTATACCTTATATGTCTTGAGATTGTCACCTACAATCATCGTCAAAAGTGTTGGGAAGGTTGCCTTTTTTACCTCTTCTTTTCCTTCCTCCCCCCGCCCCTGGCCCAATGTTGATCAAAATGTTAATGTTTGTGCGCGTAATTTTATTATTGTTCTGTTATATCCCAACATTGAACAGGGGGGACGGGGGATATTTAGCAAAAGAGAAAACTCTCTTTTTTCAGGATTAAAATGGACTACTGTTAAGTTGTACAGCCTTCCCAACTACTTTTGTCTTTGATTGTCTGAAAATTCTGGGTGTGGCCGTGAAAGATCAAAACTCGACGACTTTTTGTCAGTAGAAACGTCTTCAAAAAACACTCGTAAACAGTACTGTGTTGAAAAAAAATATTTGCCGTACCTTGTTAAGACAGTTTTTGGCGCACACGCCTGTTTATATTCGGCATGTTTTGCAACCCGGTAAGTACAACTATTGCTCTTTCCGGAGCACAGGAAGAGGGCCAAAATACAAATGAAAGACTATTTTCGGTGAAAACTATCGACTGTAGCATAGGCTGATATGCTTCAAATCTTAAGGTATCAGCCACCCTTAAAATTGCCATTTTTTCATATTTGAGGTTTCAACGTTTTCAAATAGATATGCTTGAGAGCTTTCTTTTAAAAAAAAAATTAGAAGAAAATATTATTTCTGTCGAAAGATATCGGGGGTAAAAGATTTTTTCTCGTTAATTATCTTAATTGATCGTTGACAAGATATGTCATACCCGTGTCATATATCAATTAACTTGCCCGTGAACTAGTAACGTGATACCGAGTGCATGCTTCGACACAACACGTGCGAATTGTCTTCGCGTTGTTTATAGCCTTTAGTATTCTCCGTGGATATTTAGCGTTTGCCGCCAAAAAAAGAGAAAATTTCGTCATCGAAACCGAGAGCGAAAAAGAAATCGAAGAGTGAGTTTGACAAAGAATGGGCCGCAAAATTGGCAGAGAGCGACAAAGGCTCATTTTATCAGCAAGAGAAGTGGCTCGAGGAGTTGGATATTCAGAAAAGCGAAAATGTTGCAGTTGCTGAGAGTGCAAGCCGCTCCAAAATCCAGCTTGAAGAGCCAGATGAAGAAAGCCAGTTAAGCTCATCGACCCCATCTGCTGATGGAACGTGGAAAACAATAAGCGGTCGAGCTATCGTATCGAGCGAAAAGCTGCTTGAGAAAATGGACGAGTCTGTAGCTTGTCGATTTTGCCAGGGAAGAGTCCAAGTCATGGAAAATGTAGCAACTAAGCATGGACTTGGTCCTACCTGGAGAATCCACTGCGAGAATGAAAGCCGTCCGTCGCACAAGACAAATTCTGTTTTTAGTTCTTCCGAGAAGAGCAGAGCGTTTGAAATAAACCGGGCCTCAGTTCTTGGCCTTCGAGCAATCGGTGGTGGACATTCGGCGGCTTCAAAGTTTTTTGGCCTGGCGCCGATCGACAAAAACGCCTGGGTGGATCATACGAAAAAGATCGAAGGAGAGGCAAAACTTTTGCTCGAGAAAGAATTAAACCGTGCTTCTCGTGGTGTAAAAGAGTGGAAGTTTTCCAACGGAGAATTAAACTGTTCCCTTGCTTGCCGCGAAAGTTTGTTCCTGTTACATGTTACCTGTCAAAGTCCTATTGTTAGAGAAAATTGATCCCACTCTGATATCAATCAGAATAAACATTTAGGTGTTATAATCTCATTCCAGGTAGGATGCCGCCAAAAATGTATTTTCTATTTTATCTCCGAACATAAATTTTACCCATCGACTAAATGCGTTTTGAACTCCAAGTCGGCAGCCTTTCAGTCAATTTGGCTAAAATTTGGCCAGAGTGATGCAATATATCTCTTCTACAAAACCGTGTCTGCGAATTTTAATACTCCTTTTCATTTTAAAGCTAGAGCTTTTTTCCACGGGGAGTGTTGACTAATTGCCTTTCCCAACTTCATTTGCTAATAAAAGAAAAACAAACGCACTTGTCAAAAATCCGAGACACGGTTTTTTAGTGGAACGTGTTGAGAAGCGAATGCGGTGTTAATTGTTTTCTTCCGTTTATTTCCGGCGGAAGTGGAACATGATTTATAGAGAAGTGTACTTTTACACAAAACGTTCCAATTTCGAAACACATTTAAGTAAATCGTTTTTGTTAGTTCAAATCCATAATCTGGAATTATTAAGCTTTTAAAAAATATATGGTTTATAGGGGTTTTTATAAAAACAACTAATGCTACAGCGATCCGCGCGCGGACGGTCCTGAAGGGTGGCTGATACCTTAAAGCAAGATATAGTGCGTTCACCACTTCCCGCAAAAATCATTCGGATTGCGACAGTGTAGCTGACATCTTCCTTAGCACTCCCCCATTCTTTACAAAATTCAGCACATGCCAATTTGCCAGGCGAGCAAACTATGAGGCTGAGTGGAGATTTGCCGAATTCTAGAGGCTACTTTCTCCGGCTGAAAAACTCTAGTTAAGCCCTTGTGGCACTGCTTTTCGAAACTGGTTTCAGAAAACAACAACAAAGTACGCTGTTGATTTAGAATAAGGCGTCTATTGTCTTAGTTAATCTAATTAAAAAGGGTAACACATGCAAAGTCATCACACACCACATTACTCCATTTTCGTAGTCGCAAATAATTCCTTTATAGTAGCGCTAACGACAAAATAGCCTCATTGACTTGTTCGGGGCTTTGCAAGGACTTAACCAAAGGAATTTTAATAGATATTTTAGCTTAATTCTAAGTAAAATACAACAGTACTCCATGGATAGGGTTAAAATTAAACTAACTTTGCCAATTGACCTTTATGGGGCACTGTTTAAATGGAATAATGGAGTAAATGGAGTGTTAAATTTATCTCCGTAGATAAATGCAACAAAAGCTGTCCATATTCTTACATGATTTACATGTTTTTACCCTTTTCTTGTTTGAAAGTTGGTTCATTGTGCATATATTTCGCATTTTCTTGTGGAGTAATGTGATGGAGTAATGTGGAAACCCATGTTGTTTACTGTTCTCAAATTAACTGAATGATTGACAGGCGACGCTAGCACAGCAATTTCTATATGAACACTGAACATGGCTGAATGAACTCTTTTATAGAGGTTCCGTATAACTTTCAGGCCTTACAAAAATACAGTCTACAAGGTTTTAATTCGGCACTTATCTCACTCCTTCCTCGCAACTACAAACATCACGTTTTTCTAGGATACTTTACAGGGTGCAAAGAAAATCATTTTTACAGCTTGCCATTCGGGCAAGCTGAAGCTAGTATTTACTAGCCCAGATGTCACTTCAACTAGCCCCAAAAACTTTTTGTTTTTCTGTTATTCAAATTCCTCATAAAACATCACTTGCCCGTCGGGCAAGTTAAAAACAGAATTCACTAGCCTGATAGCAAAATCCACTAGCCCCGGGCTATGGGACACTACTTTATTTGCACACTGCTTTAACACCGCCAGAATGCAAAAAAAACTTTATTGTGGCAGCCTTTATGCCATTTCTATTTGTAACATCTTTCAAAATATTTCGCTGATAGGAAACGGCAAAAGTTAACCAGGAATAATGCCGCTGATGAAAAAGATACATGTATACATGACAACGACAGCAATTGTATAGCATTTTTTGCTTAAAAATACCCTCATGACTTTTCGTTAAATCTAGTGAAACAGACCACCTGTGGCCATTCTTTCTACGTAGTCCACGCGAAGAAAACGTCTCTTGGTTCATGAGAAAAATTAAAGGCCTGAAATGTTTTCTTCTATTAAACGTTCTTAAAAGAAGGCGTTTTCACCCAGTGGACTTTGTGGTCACGCTGTGAAATGTCACGCACGTCAGATGCAAAATTCTCCTATTTATGATTTTACTGAAGTATAACCTTTATTGTATTTTTTATATACTTTGAAAAGTGCATTATCAGCACAGTTCCAGGGCGAGATATCTCAATCAAATGTTAAATGAGACAAGTTTTATAAGCGTTTAAAGTTGATGTCCTATTCTCCTACAATCATCGTCAAAAGTGTTGGGAAGGTTGCCTTTTTTACCTCTTCTTTTCTTTCCTCCCCCCGCCCCTGGCCCAATGTTGATCAAAACGTTAATGTTTGTGCACGTAATTGTTCTGTTATATCCCAACATTGAACAGGGCGGACGGGGGATATTTAGCAAAAGAGAAAACTCTCTTTTTCCAGGATTAAAATGGACTACTGTTAAGTTGTACACCCTTCCCAACTACGTTTGTCTTTGATTGTAGATATTGATTGCTACGTTTCAACAGCATACTAATAAGAATGCTGCAGGTCTTCATCAGGCGATAAGGTCGATTTACTGATTAGGATAAGTACCACCATGGTTGTTAGGGATTGGTGAATTGCAAACCTTGTTCATGGTTATTGGTTTTTGCTCCTCAGGGAGTTAACATGTAGGTCCTTAGGAAGATTAAATCCAGGATGCACAGCATTTAAGACCACGCAGAACTTCATTGTTTGTTAATTTTAGTAGTCTTGTTAGAAGTTTGCGATTTTGCATAATGCGTATTCCCCAGAATAGTCTGTTTGAAATCAGATAAATGTGGAATTGCATAGCCGGAAAATACACATAAAAATTGGCGATGTTTTAGTCTACCGTAATATATTATTGAATTGCAATTTTTTGGTAATCATTTCAAACCCACACTATCTTGAAAAACTATTTGTTTCCCCTAACCTTGAGGCTTTCATTGGAATTCTCTCTATAAGAAGGCGTACTTTGATTGATTAGTCATTAATAGTACTTGTTTGAATCTTCAGTTTGAAAAAGAAAACCTTGTTATTTCGGCTATAAAAAGGTGAAAAGTGACAGGGATAAATGCTATTGGATTCATATTAAGAGTAGTGATCACTGACCATTGATTTCCGATTGTAAATTGCTAAGTTATTTCTTAAATTATTCTATTTTAGGGGTGTTGAAGGCATCCACAGTGCAGACACAGTATTTGTTGAACAGTATCAGCTCAATCGAGGTGAGAAAGAAGACTAATATTATTGTGTGAAAAACAAGTGTTAGCTGGATAAACTATGGGGCTGCCAGGGTTAAATTCATTAACATTCAACGCTTCAAGCAGGAGTTATCTTCCATGTCGGCCAGAATTTCTGTAGCCATTTCCCTATATTTTTGATCTCTTACAGCTGTAAGTGATAGACAGATCCCCTCTCGTTAGCGTCTTTGCATTTTTTTCTGTATGGGGATGGCATGCAGTCATTATTTTAACATTTTTTGTTGTATTAGGGTGGCTAGACGGGATTTTTTAGGAGGGATACTGGACAAGTTTGAGCATCTATACTATATTATATAGATCAGCATTAAACTTAGTATGTCAGAAATACTCCTGGTATTGACAAGTGCAAAGGCAAGTTAAAAACAACAACAGCAACAACAAATTTTATTGAAAACTGGAAAATAACTAATTACATTACTTTCCCACTGGCCATAGTTAAAAGCGTAATGACATAATCACTATGTGCCATGGTAACTCCAATGTCAAAGAAACATAGAGTAAAACAAATTTTCATCTTTATATAAAACGGCTGTGGTAAAATGTTTCTGATATATTTAATTCCCAATGTAGTAAATGCTCAAACTTAGATGGTATCCTCTAAAAATCCCAGTCAAGCCACTTTAAATCTCCTGTAACAGTCCACTTAACACTTGGTCTGAATTTGTTGCCAATTTGATTAAGTGCAACTCTGGACCACCAATCATAGGATAATAAGTTTTGCTTTTTCTTCCATTTTTAAAATTTGTATATCTGATATCTACAGTTGGTTGTATTTTTTGGCATGTCATAGTATAGGTGACACTGCTTAAAGTAAGCCATTTCCAAATTTCAGAAACCCTTGCCTTCAAAGGGAGGTCAAGTGCAAAACCTTTCTCATGAAAATCAGTTTGTTTTGTAAGTAGGAGAATAAAAATCAATTCAATCAGGAGCCCATAAACTGGAGTAAGCAACTCCCATACTAGGGTTATGTTCAAGTGTTTTCATGGACCGGTGTATTTTTAGATACATTTTAAAGCACATACTTTTTCCTGCGAAAATGGACGCTCTGCTCCATTCGTTAACTCTTTATAAAATAAGATGTGACAAGGGAAAACTCAACGTCATGAAAAGGTCAAAATGCCATTGTCAGGGGGTTTTAGTTTTACTGACTGGTTTGTGGAACTTGAAATTAACAACTGTGTCGCTGAGTGGAGGTGGGTGCCCGGGATGTCCAGGGGCTTCCACCTTTGGCATAGCCAGCCCCTAGACAGAGTTATGCCCCCATGGCTGGCAAACCCGTGCCTTCCAGCCAGAGCCCCCACGCCAATGGAACCAGGCACCTGTCACACTGATTTAACAGTGGAAGAATTAAGAGGGGAGGGATGGGGAGAAAAGAATGATCCAAAGGCTAAATGAAGAGAATGGCTGCCACGAAAACACTGTACTGAACACATGGAGGTGATGCAAGCAAGGCTGACCGCGCTTGAGCCAAACGACTGACTGCTGACCATGCCCGCACTCCTTTTTGTTAACTGTGTCAAATAAATATTTATTTAACCTCATGATATTCTAAATTTGTGCCAAAATCGTTCTACAAATAAACTGGTCAGTCTACAAAAATTGCTCGCTCCATGGTATGGGCTCCCGTTTCAATCAGTTGAAGGCTTCACTTTGCTTTGTTTTGAAATAGAGGCCCAAGGAAACTTTGAAATGGCTTATTGCACACTGTATGCATCCCGACAGAGAACCCACATGGTCCATCTCTTGTACATGTAAGACACCACCAAACCTTGACATATTCATTGACTGCTTATGCGAGGATCTACTCTATTATGTCAACTAGTTTGCATCCAGCTAAATGACATTGATTTTTCCTAGATTTAACCAAAAATAACAAAACAACAATTTACAAGCTAGTTCATGGAGATCCCACAATGACCAAAATTGTTGACGGTGTAGAGGAATTTGAAGTAATGAAAAACTACATGTTCATTACCACACGCAAGGTCAGTGATTATGCCGTTATCATTGGTATTCTGAGAAGTAGATATTATCAAAGTGTGTCAAGTCAAAAGGCTTGATGCCAAAGGGTCTTGATATTCACATTCCAGTGATAGTAATGTGTGTATAGTTTTACAATGTATGATAACTTAGTTCATACTTTGCAACATCAGGGCAGAAAACTAACTAGATTTTTCTTCCACAGAACCCATCAGATAAAAACCCAATTCTGAAGGTTGCTAAATTAGCCAATGATGGGCCAATCTCCTTCAAAACAGCACAGTTTCCACTGAATGAAGAAAGCAGGGTAAGGGAATTTTAAAATGTAGACAGTGTCTCATACACACAGTTTCTAGCTTTATTAGTACAGGTATTAGCATGATTGTTAGTGATATTTGGCACTAGTAACAGGATTGTCTGTGAAGTACCCATGAACAATTCATAGAAAAGTTCACCATTTCAGAGGGTTTTGAAATAGCGTAACAAAGTGCCAGCGCGAGAGGCTGCCATTTTCACAATGTTTTTCGGAGTTGCATGACGTTCAATTTGCAGCGGAGTTGTCTGAGAGTGGACTGAGAACCAAACCCGGCCCATTCCCTCACTATTTTCAAAATGGTGATTGTAAATGCGGAAACTATGAGCGTAAACTTCATGACTGAAAGAACAATTTATAATAATTGTCACAGGGTATTTTTCAGTTTAAATACTTCATAGACGTTTATCCAATTTAATACAAACTATAAGCACATATGATGCATTTGTACGGTTTCATTTTTGCATTTGTTTGATTTATCTACTGATTTACTTCATAGCATGTTCATAGGTATATGAAGTTTTCAGTTTAAATACTTCATAGACTTTTCTAGTATGTGTCAACTTCATAGGCACTTCATAAGTGTCTCAGGGAGCTTCATAGCACCTTACCTCACATGGAGCATTTCACAGCTTGTTCATAGGGCTGTGAAGTTTTTAATTTCAAAACTTCATAACCTGTTTCATCGCTTTGTGGCTACATACCGTGCATGCATCCAAGAATGTGGACAGAATGGGGAAACAGTTAGAGTGTTTCTGACCAAGATTAGGTGGCTGGCAACGAAGGAGCCTGCAATAAGAAAAACATGTTGATTTACATTCATAAAGAAGGCGGTTTATATCAAAACAAGGTCAGCTCCAGCCTCAATTCCATCCATAACTGTAAAATGGGCTATTGGGTAAACATTAATGTTAATTTGAATACACTCATTACAGTTCACATTTCCCTTCAATGTGATCTCTTTTTCTCCTTGATCTTTTCACAGGATTTTTTTGTCTTTGATGTGGTTGATAATTATGTCTTCATCGTGATAAATCACCTAAAGAATCTCTCCAATTTGTACATTTCTGATACAATGGGTTTAAAGTATCAACTTTCCCTGCCAAGGGTATTGTATCATAACCCTTACACAGATGTGTCCTCTCCGTGGCTCAGGTAATAAATCACAACTTTATGTGTGAATTAACTGTAGCATTTAATTCTTTTTTTTTATGTAGCAGTGCCATTTCCTCATGCACCAGAACTTTGACTTTATGCACCAACCTGTAGAAAGAAGGAAGTTTACAAAATGAAATGTATTTTCAATTAACCACATTGCATAACAGGTTATTTTGTGGTAAAGATTTCAGCCAATCATAACAGTTGCTAACAATAATAATGTTGCAATTATTGCAAGAGAAGTTTACAATAAATTATGTGACATTCCTTGTGTAGGATTTCTATTTAGTTAGTCTGGAAGGCAAGTTAGAAGAGCATTTTCTCAAATATTAACACTTTAGATGGAAAATCATACAGAGTGCATAGTTACAGTAAGCATTCTTGTATTAAAAACAATGTGGTTTTGTATAACTATCCTCTCCCTTCAAGAGGCTTTTCTGAGGTAATGAAACAGAGTTAATCTGGCTGAGTAAGCTATTTAAAGGCACAACAAGCAGTTGAACTCAGGCTACCGTGAACAAATCCAGTCAGTGATCTGCCGGGCTGGACTTGAACTCAGGATCACCTGATTGCAAGTCTAGTGCTCTAACCACTCAACCACTCTAACAGTTTCATAGTACATGTATGTATGATATTCAGTGAAATGATTATACTGGTATTTGTCACCCTGTAGTTAAAAAATATTTTTTAATCATGATGTGATTTACACCCACTGATGGGATAACTTTATTGATATGACCAAATATTTTATGGCCCAACAGTCAGGTCTTATTTTGCAGAGCTCCACGAAAATTCTGATCATTTTTGTTTTGTTTTGTTTTTTGTTTTGCTGGCAGAACGGTAATACCCTATGCATTTGTGGATGTGGATAGAATAAAAGGAATGCGTGGTATTTACGTTGCTACTCAGTTAACTCCCGGACCTGTGGGCAAGAGACATCTTTTGACGTTGATCACCTACGATAGGGGAGGAAAATGGCAGCGGGTTCGCTCACCAACAGTAGACAACCGTGGAGGCAGAATTAACTGTTATTTGGTGGGTGCCATGTCTTGGTTCATAACAACTGAAACATTTTCCTGCTTTACTAGTTTCAAAAAAAAATTCTTTACTGTTTTGACTTGTATTAATTGTCAAATAGAGTAAAGAAAAGACACCTCTAAAAATTCAGTCGAGATAAGAGTAGCTTTCCCTAATTGTGGAAGCTCAATCTCTCTGTTCATTAACTATTTTAATTTTACACTGCATACTCGTATTTTGCTGCTAAGTGGTTCAGAAATGGTTCATAGGCATTTTTAGTACATTTCTAGGTGACTCGTAATGTTTGTGTCGTTAGTCTTTAGCTCCTAAATGCATGCATCAAATCTGTTATGACCTATTGTATTCTTATGGTAACAATACATTCTACTTGAATGACACTCATCTGATGCTTGTGATTGTGTGAAAAAAAAAAACGGTTTTTTTCTTTGCAGCCAATCTGTTCCATTCATATGAATCTTCTGTATGGTGCTGTGTATCGTGTTTCTCCATCCGAGCGACTGTTTTCCAGTGAGTCTGCTCCAGGACTGGTACTTGCCTTAGGTGAGTTGTCAGTGGCACTGGCTTCATCTGATTTCATCTCCATCTACTATGTCCCTTTCCCTCTTCATAATGCAATGAATTCTATTCTCTTTTTCAGGCGTGGCAAGCACCAATCTTAAGATATATCCTGATGTCTTTATGTCTTTGGATGGTGGTCTAGGATGGAGTCGGGTGAGTTTTAACTTGCATATGTTTTGGCTGGGATGGAAGAAAAATAGCCATATTTTCATTTTGTAAAATTCTGAAAAAATATTTCTATAATGTGTAAGTACTGGCAAAGAATTTTCATTCAATGGTCAATTCCCAGCAGAGGTTTGTCCACAGGTTCAAAAGTTAGAACCACCTTACAATCAAGGCTGTTGCTGTAAGATACCAAGTTACTGGTTACAGGCAATTAGTAGGCAAAGAATTGAACAACTAGGAAGTTCTTTTTTGTCTATCTTCCTTTTGTTTCCTGTGAAAGTAGCTCACTGGAGCTCATGCTAATAGTAGCCAGGGCTAATCCCCAGGCCGTCCGCCCTTAATGATATCCCTGTCACAAATAATCTGTCGTCTTTCACTCTGGAAATGAAAGGGTTACAGGAGCAACCTTTTTGGCTTTTTCACAGGTCCTCAGAGGGAAGTATCGGTTTACTTTTGGTGATCATGGTGGAGTAGTAGTTGCTGTGCCTTATAGACGTTTCACAAGGACATTAAGGTAAGAGCTAGATCTTATCTGGACTCCTGCTGTTGAAATTTGCTTTGTTAATGTGTTGATCTACAGTGGAACCTCTATTCAGGGGGTGACCAAGGAAAGTAATTTATAATTTATTAATTTATTTAGCTTCGCCTAACTAGAATACAATCTTTATACATGAAAACATAAAAATTATTAGGCAGGGAGACCACTACAGCCTAACCATTTACAGTGGATCCCTCGTTAATTAAAAAAAGTCGTTAAAAAAAAGAATTAATAACTAAAGCTACTGAAAAAAAGAAAAATCGAAAGGAAACTAAACGGAAGTTCAGATTGCTAGAAGCAGAAACGTGAATAATGCCAAGACAAGTGGACAAGACTGGTGGACAAGTGCCCCATGAGTGGAGGATGGGCTGAGGTTTGGTAATAATTAATCAAGAAATGTATTTTCAATAGAGCCAAAAAAGGCATCTGCTCTTGCTGGCTACAGAATCTGCTCTAGGCATTATTTAAAGCAGCTAGATAGTGTATAAAAAACTGCGATCTTCTTTGTTGAATTCCGACAAGTGCAGTGTGTCAATTTAAGTTAGTTAATTGATGTTTTGAAAGCTGTCACCACTGTGACTAGTGAAAATTGTATCAACGATTTTTGTGGTCAGTCAGTTTTTGATGGGTAAGGTGTCCCCTGAATGGAGGCTAAACCCAGGTTTTGGGACTCAGAAAAAAGTGTCCCTTTCCCCTGCATAGAGGTGTGTGTACCTTCAATAGAGGTAACAAGCACAAAGATTACTTGAACATTTTTCCAGGAGGTGGAGGTGTCCCTTGAACAGAGGTGTGACCAGGGTGCAAAGAAAGTCAGTCTTACAGCTTACCATTCGGGCAAGCTATAGCTAGCATGTACTAGCCCAAAAGTCATTTCAACTAGCCCAAAAAAAATTTGATGTGCAGGATTGATTACAGTTCCTCTGTTATTCAAATTCCCAAGAAAATATCGCTTGCCCATCGGGCAAGTTAAAAACAGAAGTCACTAGCCCGATAGCAAAATCCTCTAGCCCCGGGCTATCGGACACTACTTTCTTTGCACGCTGGGTGTCCCAAACGAGAGGTTCCACTGTATTGATCCATAAGAATTTTCATAATAGTCAAACAAAAATGCGTTATTTGGACAAAGTAATGAACAGGGAGGTAACCATGGAAACCTCACCACTATATTGACACCACCACTTTAATCAACATCCAATGTTTATCTTTTTATAAATACCAAAACATAAATATTTTAAAAAAATAGTAATAATAATTTTTTTGGAAATATACCCTTTCACACTGTGGTTTCTCAGTGAAGAAACCATGACTTAGCATAGACCTTCACTTTCAAAATTCAAAGGCCTCCATTGAAGTGTTGATACCAAAGGGTGGTCATTTCTTCTAAGAGTAAATTTGTTCAGAGCTGCAAGCTGTTTATGATGCGGTATTTCTCTCAAGGTGAATGTCATACTTCTATGTACTTTTACTTTTATGGGGGGACGGTGGAGGGAGGCAGAGTAATATGGCAATTTTGTACCCATGCTACAGGTAGTGGAAAACAGCTGTCCAAGTTCAGTCTGATCCTGTGTAATTTGTGCACCCCTGGGTCGTTATATTGGTTGACATCTCAACCAACACGCAACCGATATCTTGACCGAGATATGTCGATCAACCAATTTATCGGTCGCGTGTTGGTTGGCATATTGACCGATATATTGGTCAAGTGGTTGTCAGATTGTCGGTGGACATGTTGATCAATAGACTGCCGACATTCTGCCGATACTTCACTGATACTAGGGTACTTGGTGGACTGTAGCCTACATTGCAGACGTAATTTAACCTAGGTTAGTAACATCTGCTGAGCAGCGCAGATATCCCTGTTCTGCCCCCCGCTTCTCAGAGACTTCTTTGTATAAATTGCAACATCTGTGTACAGACGAAATTGGTGGAGTTTGTTTCGGCCAAGTATAATGATCTAATGGCTTTCAAAGCCAATTTAACAGCTTGCCGGACTCGGGCAAGCAGTAGTTAGAATGTACTAGCCCAAGAGTCATTTTAACTTGCCCCCAAAAAACATTGATGGGCAGGATTGGTAGCAGTTCTTCTGTAATTTGAATTCCCCAAAATACTTCACTTGCCCGTCAGGCAAGTTAAGAACAGAATTGACTAACCTGATAGCAAAATCCACGAGGCGCAGGCTATCAGACACGACTTTCTTTGCAACTAGTGCCTAAGCAAAGGCTCAAACCATCTACAACAATGATGAAAATCGTGGCATTTCTTAGCTGTTCGGTATTCGACGAGCTTCATTATTTTAGAAACCATCAAGAAACCTTGAAACCTTCGAGTCTTCCTCTATTAAAGCAATGTTTTGTGAGTTGATATTCATTGTACTTTAACAATTTGTTTATTTTACACCAGATTTCCGAAGGAAAGACAGAAAAGTGAATCTATATTTTGAGGATCGACCCAGCTATGCACAGCTTTTCTCATTTTCATTAATATGCATCTATGCTCAATTTTGCACCAAACATCTCTTCTAATATAAGATTAAAAGAGTAGATTGCCAATTACAGTTACACTGAAGCATTGAAAATAGCTCATGCACGTAAAACGTGCCTATTGTTTTTGTGATGTCATCATTTCTCTTCTCTATACATGCATGCCTTTCAAAATAGAAGCAGTAAGTATTTTTTTGTTATTATAACAGATATACCATAGATGGAGGAGCAACATGGAAAGTGTTTGTCTTCAGTGATTCGTTAATCCTTGCCCAAGATGTTGTCACTCAGCCTGGTGAAAGGCTGCCCATTTTTCTTATTTATGGAACCAATGGTCAAACGAGACCCTGGAAAGTGTTCTATGTTAACATGACAGCAGTATTAGGTGGGCTTACTAATTCTTAATCTAAATGTGTGATGATGATTATTGGCCAAGAAGTTGAAAACATAAGCAACACTGTGACACAACAAACTGGGGGAAGAGCTTTCCAAATCTTCCATTTCTTGTTTTTGAACAATTTTTGCTTACTTTACAGAAGTGCTGGTTAGTGGCAGTGTAAATGATAGTTTCAAAGAATGCATCCATTCATTTACCGGTTATTGGCCATTCTAAGGGTCACCAGAAAGTGCCTGCAACTGGCAATATGGTCAGCTACCTGCAAAGTTTTGCAGCTAAACTTTGCTGTTAAAAAGAAAAAAAAAATTATAAAGTTGTCGTAATTCTACGGTAGTACATGTCACCATTGTATGTCTACTTTCTAGCATTCTCCTTCTACTTGATTTTTTTTGCTGACAACCCCACATTTGTTGGCTTAGTGTTACCCAGTTGCCCAGTTGCCCAGTTGTCTAATTCATGTGGTACAGTGAAACCTAAGTATAGTGAAGGCCCAAGGGACTGGTATAATTTGTTTGCTATAAAGAGGTCTCGTTATGGCGAGGTTCTTTTTCATATAATTAATATTGTACTATCTGTCTTTGTTATACCAAGGACTTTGCTATATAGATCGAGGTTCATTATATCGATCTTCCACTGTATGTAACTTGCATGATTTCCTCTCTAGCTGGCATCTCGATTAATGATGTTGCAATTTTCAGGTCCAAAATGTAATTCTACTGCCTACACTCAGTGGACCGATGGGTGCCTCTTGGGTCGTCAGCAGCAGTTTGAGACAAAGAATTGGACCATACATTGTCACATGACACGAGATTACAAAAGGCCCATATATGTAAAGAATTGTGAATGTACAAGGGATGATTTTCAATGGTAAATACAACCTTTAAAAAAGCAGGAATCAATCTCTGGATCAGACCACAATGAATCAACCCTGGGGTGCTCTGGCAGGGCGAAAGGAACAGTACTGAAGTCATTACCAAATTCATCTGTGCCAATCAGCATTTTGCATTGACTTTTCCAATTTAGAGATTCAAATTCCTGAGATATGACTGTAAGCTCTCCTTTCTTTTTGCCCCACTACCAGAGCACCCTGGAAAGCTTGCTCACAGGAAAAGGTCGCGTTCCATTTGTCAGAACTGACCAGCCAGACCATTCCCGGCGTAATGAGAATTTTACTTTTAATCAAAACTATCCAGCGAGATCAGTCAAATCCTAAATGGAGATGGTTTTTCTGCAAAAACCCTTTCGAAAAAGCCGATTCATTTGCTAACTGACTGCTCCGGCTGGCCAT